TCAAATAGCTAGGGAGTTTAGACACCGTATGGTTCGAAAATTCTTTGTAAAAATAAAATGATAAAAGCATAATTTAATAATATGGGACAAATGACTGATCACTAGATAATAGACCAATTGATAAAAATTAGAGGAAAATATATGATTGATAATTTAAAAAAAAAATTGATATGCTTAAATGAAAAAAATAAAATTCATATATTCAATTAAAAAAATTAAAAAAATTAGTTATTTATAATGAAATTATCTCAATGGAAATCTATAGCTTTTTAAGATTTTCAATACCCATGTATTTTTATGCAAAAATTTGTTCCACTCTTCATTTATACTTCTAAATATGATTGCTATAATATGTACTTCCTTGACCACTTTAAGTACAAATCGATCTAAAAAAGAACACTCTAAAAGGGAAACCCACTTATATAAATATTAATTATTTTGTTTCACATTATTTCATAATTCAATTGCTTAATGCATAATGTATGATCCCTCAAAATAATTTAAATATAATGATTCATCTTGGTTGACTTGATTTGTAAACGTTAATTGATTCAATTTTATTTACATCATGTTTTCAAATTTAGTGGTTAAATTAGAAATATAAAAGTTAATGAACTCAATTCTATACACATTACTTTTTCAAAATTAGTGGTTAAATATAAAAAGTAGCATATGTTAAGTGCGTACATAAGCTGATTTGATTATATAGATGAAAATAACAAAGAATATTCTTAGATATATATCTTGAATTATTGGATTAGTGATAAGTTTGGTAGCTTTTTCATAGAGATGATTTTTTTTTTTTTGGTTTGGAAATATATATATAATTATTCATAAATGAGGTGTTCTTTTTTCCTTTCTTTTTAAAGGTGGGTACCTTCTCCTTGGGGAGTCGAAGTGGGGTTCCATCCTTCCTTGCGTTATGACTTAGGTATTCCATTTCGGTTTCTCAAACTTTTAAAAAAGTTAAAAGGACCCCATTCTTCTATTTTTCAACTTTTAAGAAAGTCTGTATCCTTGAATGTTAGTTGTAAACTCAATCTTCCGAGAAATAAACAACCGAGCTAAATCAAGTTATGTTCATTGCTTTAGAGGTAGATGTGGAAACTTGTCCTTCATAAAGAAAGAAAAATAAAAGAGAGAAAAGAATAAGAAATTAAATCGAGGCAAGATCTATCTCTTATTGAACGAGGATGAAAACATGACAAGTCTGAATAGATAGCAAATTTTTTGACTCATTTTTCACTACATCTACATTTATCCCCATGGCTTTAAGGCTTAACAAACCTTTCCGGATACTAAATAGATAGAAACATTTGTCTTTACCTTGACTATGACAAAGCGAACCCTATCTTGTCGAGAAGCAATCCTATTGGTTTGCTTGGCCTTTTCGTTATGCCAACAAGCTAACAACTTGAGAGGGCGAAGGGTCCAAATAAGTTCATTAGTAAGGCAAGGCTTCACATCACACATATTTATTTAAGCTAATTTTCTAATCCTTTCAAGGATAGATAGAAAAGAAAGGGTTGGAGAGAGTGATTTTAAAAAATTCTTTCCTTTCTAAAGCTACGAAAGATGCCCCCCAAAACAAAGCCCTACCCTTTTTACCCTTTAATGAAAGACTCTCACCTCGCTTCCTATTCATTTGTGGGTTAAAACACGAGGACCTTTTTTTAAAGAATCACTCAACAAATAAATTCATAGTTCGGGATGAGCAAAGTGATTGGGAGTTTGCAACTAAGATCTAAGCTCATATTATCGAACAAAGCAAAAAGTCTTAGATGGGAAAGATTAATCGTCCTAGATTCCTTCTCATCTTAGATGGGCTATGAATCAATGAGAATATAGAGAGAGGACAAAAAGTGACGTACTTGAGAATGGTTTTTTTACTTTACTGGAAACGGCTTGATATTGGCAACTTCAATTGGAGAAAGACAAATAGGGTAGGATAGCAATAGAGGTGGAAGTAGAGATTAACATTTTTTTTAATTTAAGAAACTTTTCCTAAAAGGCAAGCTATTGATTAGCAAGAGGAGAAACAAATGAAAGTTGAAGAAAGAACTTCGAATGAAGGCAACTCACTAGGAATTTTCTATAAAACAAAATCCAATAGGGTGTTTTACATTAAATGAAAAGGAGAGATTTCTAAATATGATATCTATTTAGTGTGATCTATGGAATATATGAAAAAGATGGAGTGTTGGAGTATTTCTATTGATCGGTCATATCATATAGCCTCAAATCGGACATCCAAGTGATTCAATTTGAATTATCCATAATATATATATATATATATATAGTTCCACCATTGGGTGAACCACGTAGGTATGTTTGTAAAGACGAATTTTGTATCGAAATAGAACGGCCATGAATGGCTTCCTTTGCGAGAAAATACTCGGATGTGGATTTTTTGAAAACAGATTTTGCGAAACAATCACTCGAGTGTTTTGTGAAGAAGGGTTTTGAGAAATAAGTTTTGAAGATTCATTTGATTTTGGAGAAAGGGGTTTTTAGAAGAGGAAGATCCTTTCTCTAGTTTTGAAATGGGCTCAAGATGCATACACGAGATCTTTTACGGGGCCGAAGTAGTTCAAATTTGTTTTGTTAAATTCTAGACCCGAGTCATCAATAGATTGGGTTGAGATAAGAGTTTACGGGTTTTGTTTTTCGACGACATACGCCCAAGAGATGGGTTTTGCTTGAAGATAAAGGTTTTGGGCTTTACGGTATAAGGGGTTTTTCCCTTTATCTTTCTTGGCCATCGAGACTCGTTTTGCGGACATTCTTAAGTCAAGATCGTTAATAGAAATTTTGATAAAATGGATTTTACAAAGTTCGAATAAAAGATTTTGGAAATGGTTTAGGAAAATATTTTGGATGCATATGAAAATGCAGAATGCAATTGCGGGGTTTATGAATTAACTAGCCATCTATAATGCTCGGGATCGGTGGCAATAATGGTCGCAAACTCACAATATTGGGGTAGGATTTTGTTTTTGATTATGCCTCTTTGGAGTTCATCCTCGAGGTAACTTTCTATGGAGTCAACTCTGTTTGAAAGGGCATATTCAATATTCTTGAGTGCTTCATTGATGAGATCGTCTTTGAAATCATCAATAGCATCTAAGGCATATGCTTCAAGGTCTCGGGAGATCTATCTAGGGCTCTAACCGTTAAATAATCTTCCGTTTGATCGGTATTGAGACCCACTATATCCATAATGTCTTCTAGGATATCTTCTTCAAGAATAGGCGAGTTGGTTGAACTCAATAGCTTCTTCTTAGACATAATTTTTATTTTGTTCATAAAATCTACCCATCCGTAAAGGACAAGTTGGAGAAGATCCTATGAGTTTTGTAGAAGGGATATGCGAAACCTTAAAATCATTCACCCTTCGATCGGGGCCGAGACCTTTCCCTACAAATGGTTTTCCCGGACGACTTCAAATCTAGTGTTAACCACTGCCGTTCTTTCTTCTAGTGGGATTATCGGCGGGCATGGTTCAATACTTATGCTTCTCCAAAACAACGAAAGGAAGCCATTCATGCACGTTACTATTTCGATACAAAATTCGTCTTTACAAACATACCTATGTGGTTCACCCAATGGTGGAACTATATAAGACAATCGAACCTATTTCTCAATTCAATAGAAGCCCAAAAAGGTGAAGTGAATATGGAATAGGATCCCAAATAAGGATACACACACACACACACAATATATATATATATATATATATATATATATCTTGTTTTCTTCACTTATAGTTCTAGCTTTCTTCTTAAGGTGAGTCAATCGGTGTCTTTTTTCTCATACAACCTTATATTCTAAGAAACAAGGTTGAAGAAGAAGACATCAAGTATGTGGTATAACTCTTACATGTTCGCTCTTATCGACTTTGAACTCATGATGGAGGATGGGTCGCTAACTCGATTAGAAGGGAGGAGAGAACATTAGGAAATCTTTGTAGAGAAGCAAAGTCCTAATCAAAGCAAAAAGGTAAATTCTATTTTTTAGGAAGGTTCCTGTTGGGTTTTCCTCTTACTTGGAGGATGATTCAAAAGTTTGTCTACGTGAGCCCAATTTTGAAGTCCACGTAGAGGAGTAATTTTTAATCACCTAAAGGGTAATTTAGGTATTTTCTAAATTAACCATATCTTCTCTTGAATTTTGAGATTAGATTAGGCAAGAAAGTAAAGAGAAAAAGAAAAGAAAAGGAGAGAGATTTGCAACTTTAGAGAGAAAGAGGAAGAAAGTTTCAACATAAACAAGTTAAGATAAAATTAAATTTTTGGATTCGTTAACCATTGGATCGAGCTCAAATTTGATGAGAACCTTCGAAAGAGATAGACACATATTTAAAAGGGTGGAGATCTAGTTTTCAATCCTGGAGAGTGAGATATGATCCTTGCAATAGTGCAATCTTTTAATAAAATCTAAATTTGGTTTCTTCTTTGTTTTATGTATCATCAATTGATAAGGTTTGCTAAGGGTATATAACCATTGATGCTTATGTATAATGTATTCCTCTAGTTTAATCTAGATAGAACTCCTTGTATTACCCATTATTATTGATAGTAAAAGTCTTTCTAGACTCTAGTCCCATGGTTTTTCCTTCTCGAGTTAAGGAGGTTCTCCATGTAAAATTCATGTGTTTTTTATGTGATTGGTATTACGTTCTTAGATTATTAGTTACTTATTTTGTCTTGGTTATTTATTTGTTGTCCTTATTTGATTGTTTAAGTAAGGATAAAAAGATTTCACTATGTTATTTGTATTTCTTTATCCAAAAGCTCCTATTTGCCATTGATTTAGATGAATTAGTTATTGTCGTTGGCGTTCTTCTATTTTTGAAGCAAAGAAGGAAGCATTGTCTTTCATTCATAAGTCACATAAGAATTGCTCTAGGTTGAAGGTAAGGCTATTAAAGAAGGGACCAGCCAAGTGCGGGCTGAAAAAGGACAATAGTAATTGAGTGGGGAAGTGTTGACGAGAGAGGAATGGCTTTGGATTCTCCAAAAAGTATGGCAAGCATGCCAAGAAAAGCGGAACTACTAGGCACGGTCGGTAAGGTCAAGTGAAATCAAAGTCAAAGATGAGACCTTCTCTTATGTTCATTATAGAGGTTAACCGGATTAAATGGAAGGAGAGAAAGCTTCGAACGAATGAGAGGCCGAGCTCTCCACCTAACCGCATTATGTACCTTTAACTCGAATACATTGAAAACAACAATCAACCTATAAGAGCCGGCATCTATTATCATCTTTGACATTTCTATTCTTAGCAACAAAGGACTTGTTCTCTGATGTCCATAAAGGGATTGCCCATTTGCAAAACCACTAGGCATTGAAGGAGCTATTAGGATGATGGATGCTAACCTTTGAAAGAGTCGAGTCTTGTCTTGATGCCGAGAATAGTAAGATTAAAAATTTTGATTGGAAAAAATAAGATATTTTTTAAATAAAAATTATTATCATCATGACTAGTCAACAACTCAGTTAGAATCGAGCATGAAAGGATCTAAGTTATTGGCGAATATAAAAACTATGGGGACTACTTAATTATTTATAATGTCACAGGGACTAATTCATTCATTTCTATAAACTATAAGAACTAATTTATAATTACCTCCTTCGAGGGGTAAAAGTACATGGTCCAATGAAAGACAAGACGGTGGTGATTTCAGCCGAACAAAGAAAGATGCTCTCTTCCAAGCATCAACGATAAGCATCACCACTGCTATCGTGCTGAAAAAAAAAATAATAAAGCATGGAATTAGATTCTATGATTCTTGCTGTCACATACCACAACTCCAAATAAAGGTCACTCATTTTCAAGTTGGCTTTCCTTCTCAGGTAATTCATTTATTCATATCAAATGGAATCGAATCATGAAACCAAACCAGTGGCATGTCCAATGCTTTTAAAATTTTCTGCTTGCAAAACGAATTGTAAATGAATAAAACAGGAGGTCAGGTCCCGTCCTGACTGGATGCGTTTCTTTACTATTCGTAACATGCCCAGACCAGAAACTGCCCTTGGTAAATCAGTTTCAATCGAATTTTCTACTACTCATGTTTTCTTTCTTTTCTTTTTTTTTTTTTAAGAATCAATTAAGGGTTCCTTTGTTCTCAAGTTTGGTTTGAATTCTATTCTTTACTTGCGGGTTTGTGCTTTCTCTTGCCTAATTGCGGTTGCCATGCTTTCTTGTTATGGGATTTTTTTTCCTTTCTTTTTGACATTCTCTAATTTGCTTTTGAATTGATATGGATTATGGCCTAGGTACACTTTGTCTTTATAGTTTCTTATATTTTGCTTTAATTATGTAGAAACCTTATTTTTTGCAACGTAGGAAGCAAGTAGCTTTTTTCATTTTAAGTTGGATAACTCTCCACGCGAATGGACAATGCACACATTTTTTTTTTTGGATTTTAAATGGTGGTAGCCTCGTATACTTGCTTTAGTTTGAATTTTTCCTTTAATTTGTCGTTTTGATTGTTCTTTTTAAGCAGCGAAAAAGGATGGTTCTTCAAGCAAATTGACTAATAAAGTTTGGAATTTGAGTTGTCATAATTATTGTTTTTTGTTTGCTGCAATACTGTTGGGATTTAGAGACAAGAAACATGTTTGCATGTTGGCTTTAGTTGTTAAATTTGATTGATGATGAATGACATATGCGTAATTAACTTACAATCATAATAGATGCAGTGGCCAACGTAAAAATCAGCAGCATGTATTATAAATAGACCAGTATGTCCATTTTTTATCTTGTTCTGTAACAGATCAATGTGTTATATGTTTTGTCCGTACAGGCATACCTGGAGATGGAAGATGTTTGTTTCGGTCTGTGGTTCATGGTGCTTGGCTTAGGGCTGGGAAACCATCTCCAAGCGAAAGCCTTGAGAAAGAACTAGCTGATGATCTCAGAGATAAAGTACTAAATGAACTTATTTTTTTCTGCCCATGTCTTAGCATTATCTTACTGGTTGCTGCACTGTTTAATATGGTTCACAAATGTTGGCTTTAAGCATGCCAACTGTAGAGTATGAGTTTGTGTGTGTTTTCCATTTGCTGCATACCTTATTACAATGTAGACTATGCCCAGTCGACCATCTTTCCAAATTTGAGGAAAGTAAAATTTGCATTCAAATGTGCTCTGTTGTTCATTTCCTAGTTTGTATACTTTACGTACACTGTTTTGTGCTTGCATTATTTTGATGTTCATAAATCAAAATAGTTTTGTATATTCACTTTTTTAATTTTTTAGAGTTTCACTTCTGATATAGTGTTTGGCCCTCTTACTGAAACGCCTTGGATCATTTCAACAGGTTGCAGATGAATTTATAAAGAGGCGGAGGGACACTGAATGGTAAATTTGCTTGAGGAATTTTTTTTTTTTTTCACAATCTTGTATCTTTTCGCTGAACGTTCTATAGAAACATCATTTAGCAGATTTGATTATTTAAGATTGTTGACAAGGGATAACCAAAAATTTACGCATAACTAACAGTTAAGCATTGGCCATTTCTTTTTTTCCTTTGGTTTATTTATCAATGAACCAATCTCAATGATTGACAATGGCCTTTTCTTTTTCTTGTCAATCAACGATGTTGATGATTATCTACCTAGTCATCCTCTAGCATTCAGTTAAAAGTTTGTGCATTGGCAGGTTTCTTGAAGATGATTTTGACACTTATGTTGACCAGATGAGACAGCCCCATGTTTGGGGAGGAGAGCCTGAGCTGCTCATGTCCTCACATGTCCTGACGTAAGTTGCCTCCTCTCCCACTCTATGAGACATTAAAAGCTAAAAAATCCGTTGATCTACTATTTTTTAACATTATCCATTTTGTAAATTACATACTATATTCATATTCAACTAGGTAATTTACTTTTGTTCTGAATTTTTAAGGCTTGGACTTATAGCCTTCAAACTGTAATGTCCTTGAGAAATCTCCATGTGAAGCACCTGTACTGCTACTTATTACAAACTATACTTATCATGAACTCAAAATTAGAATTTATGTAAGACTGAAGAAACTGATAAACATGATCCTCTTCTTCTCAAAATCGGTTGAGATGCATGGAATTTATGTTTTGTATTAATTTCTTACTTTATGTTGGCCCATGTTTGATTAATGGAATGTCAAAACTTTCACATTGATGTCATGTGCAATTTTCTTCTCCAGGATGCCAATCACTGTATACATGCGAGAAAAAGGTTCTGGTAGCCTTAAAATTATAGCAGAATATGGTCACGAGTATGGTAATGAAAATCCTGTGCGTGTACTGTATCATGGTTATGGGCACTATGATGCATTGCGCAATCTGATTGGTGGTGCACAAACCAAGAAGTAAGATCTCATGCTTACATATTATTTTCATCTTTGCCATAATGTAAACACTTCATCAGCATTCTCCTTCAAAGGTTTACAATGGTTGATATATTTGCTTGTGAGGATATACTTTTGAAGGATTTTGTGCTTCTAGCGATTAAATTTTGAAGAAAAAGGTTCAACTTCTGTGTCAATAGACTTTGAGCTTTGTTGGGATCTTCGTTTAGCTTAGATGTATTGTCATATTTTGCATGCATGGCATAGTGGGACTCAAAAACTTGTTTTTGTAGGAACTGAATTATCTGATTTGCAATATAGATTAATACATTTTGCCTCTAATTTTTCCTCTGACCATATATAGAGCTGTTGAAAAAACTGTGCGATGCGAATCTGACAAATATTATGCATTGCTTATCTTTGTAAATTTGAAGTTTCCTAATTTCTGCTAAGTAACAAAACTGTTAAGCTTATGGGATTATTTCTTTTGGGATTCTTGGCAGGTCCAAGAAAAGATGAAGAAGAAACGGTTTGCCTGCCATTTCACAATATGGGATGTACTGCTTTCTGGTCTAAAGATTTCTTCGTACTTGAAATTATCTTATTCCTTAAAGGACTTGAAGCGATTCAATATGAATATTACACAGAAATTTGATGGGTTTGCAAGATGCAATTGCGCCTAATTAACTTGGCCTAATTTTTTATTAAGAAAAAAATGATATGGAGAAAATTTGATGACCTGATTACATTCTTGTGCCTGTGAACTGTGGTTTTTAACGCGCATCTTATGTTCCTACTTTTTCCAAGTGGTTTTTCCTCTTGGAGCTTTTATTATTCTACTCAAGCTTAAAAGGTAAAAAGAAAAAAGAAAAAAGAAAGAAAAGAAAAGAAAAAGCATTATATCCTTTCAAATACTCAATTCATTATATCTGAATTCTTGAACATCAAGTGATCAATGATCAGATTTTGCTGCTTCCAAGTAAATTGGTGATTTTGATTCGTTTAATTCATTGATCAGATACAGAGATCAATATATTATAGACTTCTGGATTGATTGGCATTTTCTTTTTTCTTTTTCATCGATTTATTTGCTGCCTCAGCGTTTCGTATTAGACAGGTGAAGAATGCTGAATTGGTGTAGTAGTACAAGAACCATATAGGTGCACAAAAAACTCTTTTTTTTTTTTTTTCCCTGCAGACTGGTGAAACAAGTCTTGTTGTATATTGCATGGATCCGCAATGCTACAACCAAAAGATATGCAAAAAAATCTGGATATAAAATTCTATGAGCAAATGGCACTGCCTATTATAAGTCGTTATTGATTCCTGACTCCTGAAGACCATCAAGAATCCGCCACGGCGGCGGCAGCAATAGTGGTCTTGCCTGTCTCGCGTACTCTTTCTGTCTAATGTTACAAATCCCTGCTCACGCTCATTCATCTTGCATGCAATACCTTATACACCTTAGAAATGATTTAGGGACTATAAATTGGAGAAGGCTCCCTACCATCAAAAATAAGTTTGTATGAATGATATGATAATTTTAAGATATTTGCTTTCCTTTTATCTTGAAAGTTTAGTTGTCTCTTTTCTTGTAATTATGATTTGAAAATTCTACTATGTAATAAAGGAAAAAACCCCCAAATATATATATATATATATAGGGTACGTATTGGAATGAGATGAGTTCAAGGTTGTGTTTGTTTGGGAGAAAACAAGTTCCATAGGAAAACTAATTCCCGAGGAAGCTATTTTCCTGTAAATTATTTTCTAATAACATATTTTTTGTCGTTTGGCAATTATATGACAAAACTATTAGAAAATATATTTCAACGTTTATTTGATACGAAAAATTAAAATACAAAAACTTATGTGATTGTTATATCAACAAGTTTTGAGAAAATTTTAAAAAGACATTCATAATTTTATAATATAAGATACATTTAGAAAAATTTAATAAATTTTCATCAACACTAACTCTAAAATTTTAATTCAAAAAATAAAATATACTTTTTTAACAATCAAACCAAATCTTCAAAATTACTTGGAAAAAATTAATTTAATATTCATATTTAGTAAAAAAAGATTCTAACTAATCCTAACATTATTATTTTAGTAAATAAATTAAGAATTTTTTTTAAAAAAAATTGATATGATAATTTAGTCTAAAAAATAATTTTATGAATTATTAGTTATCATTTATAGATAATTATTTATTTGATCTCAAAAGATTAATGTTGGAATAATTTGTAACTAATTATTCATTACAATTACCAATAAAATTTTATAATTGATTAAAATTAAAAATTATTGGTTTAATTGCGGATGAATAGTGTTGAAAAAATAATATATTTATTGATGAATTAATTATTTTAATTTTTTTTTACAAAAAATTATAGTCTTGTTATAATCATTTTCGATCATTTAATTATAGCTTAGGTAGTGTTTAAGACAATAGTTAAAAAAAGAGATAAGTTATTGAAATATTTATTATAAAAATAATTTTAAGGTGTAAAAATGATTTTTAAGTACATTTAACGTATCTATAAATAAATAAAAAATCAAATATTAGTAAAGATAGAGAAAAAATAATTAAATAGTTAATAATAATTGATAAGAAATAATTAAAAATTAATAAATATTAGTAAAGATAGAGAAAAAATAATTAAATAGTTAATAATAATTGATAAGAAATAATTAAAAATTAATATGATATATTTTAAATAAAAAGAAGATAGAGAAAAAAATTGTTAAAATATATCGAGAGAAAGTTAAGTAACGAGAGAGCGAGATAGCTCGTGAGAAGGAAAATGTTTTCCTCTTTTGAAACTGGGAAAACATTTTCTCAAAATTACTCTATGATTTTCCGTTAACCGAAAATCATTTTTCATTGACTTTTTTCCCGAATATGAAATAAACACTAAAAAATGGAAAAAACAAGTTCCAGAAATTTGTTTTCCTCCAAACAAACACAGCCCAAGAGAATCCTAATGACAAATTTGGTGTTAAATGACACTGTTAACCCTTGAAAACCCCAATATTTTGCCACCTCAATTAAAAATTAAAGATATAATTCACAGATTTGATACTTCATTAACTGCATAAATTTAGGGATGTTATCCTATTAATGTTGCTTGCTAATCAAGCAGAAGACTATTTAGCTTTTAATTTGGTTTAGGAGTTATCAAGGGTTTTTTTTTTTAAAAAAAACAATATATAATTTTGTAAATTATAAATTAGTTCCTGTATTTTAAAGAAACAAATTAACTAGTCTACTAGTTGCAAAAACTAATTATATAGTCTTTTAACCAGTACTGACCTTGCTTAATTTAATGTTAATTTATTTCAAAAAAATGAATCTTTTCTCATCAATTCTTCCATATTTTTACTTATGTTTTTTCTATTTTTTTAAATCAAAATAAATTGAAAAAGATAAAAAAAAATGATTTAATTACAAGAAAGTTTAAAACCACAGGGACTAAATAATTAGTTTTTTTATAACAAAGGGGATTATTTAATTTATTTTTTAAAACTAGAAGAACTAATTTATAATTTACTCTCAAATCATTAAGGTAGATAACACTATCTAAAATCTACGTTAAACGCTAAACCCTACTTAAAATCTAGTTTGACTCTCCTCAATATGATATACACTATACATACCTTAAACCAAAACACTAAGGCAAATGGTTGCAAACGATCTTCTTCCTCTCTCCAGTATGAAGCTTGAAAAGGTTAACAAAACCTTTCATAACGTGGTGCAAAAACTCTTTGGCTTTGGCTTTGGCTTTTCTTCAGCCCCTAAAAGTGTAAGTTGAGTTATTATTTCAATTATCTGTGGTAGATATCTACTATCATTAGGATTCAATCAACAGTAAACGAAGAATTTCATTGTTCAAATACAAGGGCAAAGTCCAGCACAAATATATATATATTCATTATAATTGCTCTTTTTTAAAGTAGCCAGCTGCCATATTATTGAAGTTTTTCTTGTTCTACTTGATATCAGGATGGAGTGGTTAATCAGTCAGGAGAGTACAGAAAAATCCATTCGGATTTCAGGTTTCTCTTCTTTTTATTTGCTTCGATTTCTTTTAGTTTATCTTTATAAGGTTAGAATGCTTTAAAAAAAATTAAAAATTCTCCGTTTCCAGATTATCATTACCAAATTCCATAAAAAAGCACCAGCCAAGCATTAAATATGGAGATGTTGCTAATCGCCAAAGTTCAAAATCCTATGCTTCATCTGTCCGTCTCCTCGGCCCGCCAGAAATTTATCTCTCTGCCTCTCCTGGGAAAGAAAAAGAGAGGTTACCCAGTTCTGGTGACCCTTTCATGGAATCGATGGTTGCCAACTTCAACAAGAGTGTAAGGTCCACTCCCGCATCAACAGGATTGTACTTACCTCCAAGACCGCAAATGGGTTACACTGAAAACCGCTCTCCAACTTTTCTGTCCAGTGGAAACCCATGTTTGGATTTCTTCTTTCATGTTGTTCCTGATACACCAGCTAAGGATCTTGTCCGCAGGTTAAAGCTGGCATGGGAGCAAGATCCCTTGCTTGCTCTCAAATTAGTCTGCAACTTGCGAGGTGTTAGGAACCATGAAAGTCTGATAAGGAGGGGTTTTACAAGGCTGCTTTGTGGCTCCATCAAAATCATCCCAAGACACTAGCAAGCAATGCTATGGCTATATCCAACTTTGGCTATTTCAAGGACTTGCTTGAGATTCTAGATCGTTTGCTTAAAGGTCCTGGTATTAAGGAAGCTGCAAGGGAAGAGAGAGAGATGATGAAGCTTGAATGGGATATGATGCCAATAGAAGAAAAGAGAAGCCGTGAGGGAAGAAGCAGATAACAAAGGGAACAAGAAAGAATTGAGGCAGGAAGGAAAGGCATTGAAAAATACAACGACGATCCAGTTTTTCGGTTTTTACATGATCAGATATCCAATATTTTTGCCGAGACAATGAAATCTGATCTTGAAATCTAAAAGCTGGTAAAAGATACATCAGCCTTGCTGCAAAATGGTGTCCCTCCTTATATTCTTCATATGATCGTGCTACTCTCATATGCGAGAGCCTAGCCAGGAGGATGTTCCCGCAAGAATCATATCCAGAATATGAAGGCCTTGAGGATGCTCATTATGCTCACAGAGTTCCAGACAGGCTTCGAAAGGAAGTGCTTGGGCCACTTCGCAAAGAAATGAGACTCCCGGAGCTCTACATGAGTGCCAATGAATGGGGATGATTCCTTACAACCGAGTAGCTTCTGTTGCAATGAAAGCCTACGCAAACGCCTTTCTCAACCATGACAAGGAACGATTTAAGGAATACCTTGGTAAGGTGAAGAAAGGAAAGAAAAAGATAGCGGCTGGTGCTTTACTTCCCCACCAGATTATAGCAGCATTGAAAAACAGCTACAGAAATGAAGTTGCGGGGTTGCAGTGGCAGAGAATATTGGACGATCTATCAGCAAAAGGTACTCTGAAAAATTGCCTTGCAATCTGCGATGTTTCTGGAAGCATGTATGGTACCCCGTTGGAAGTAAGTGTGACATTGGGTCTACTAGTATCGGAGTTGAGTGAGGTGCCTTGGAAAGGAAAGCTTATCACATTTAGCGGTAATCCTCAACTTCAGATTATTCAGGGAGACAGTATTCGAGCAAAAATTGAATGCATAGAGCGTATGGACTGGCATTGCAACACAGATTTTCAAAAGGTTTTTGATAAAATCTTAGAAACTGCAAAAAAGGGGAACCTTCGAGAAGATCAGTTGATAAAGAGGCTATTTGTGTTTAGTGATATGGAATTTGATGAGGCATCAGCAAATAACTGGGAAACTGACTATGAGACCATAACAAGAAAATTTCATGAAAATGGGTATTCATCAGTGCCAGAAATTGTGTTTTGGAATCTGAGATACTCAAAGGCTACTCCAGTGCCAAGCGACCAGAAAGGGGTAGCACTAGTTAGTGGTTTTTAAAAGAATTTGCTAAAAGTATTTCTGGAGGAAGGTGAACCCGTGAATCCAGCGGACACCATGATGAAGGCCATTTCCGGAAAAGAATATGATGAGCTTATTGTTGTAGATTGATGCTTTTGTTTGGCTGGCAGGTTTAATTCCCCTCATTAGCGCATGCTTGCTGTAGTAGTTAACTATTTTGTGGCTTTATTTCAAATTAATTTGGAGATCAATGTAGGATGTTTTACTTAAGTTTTTTATATTACACCTAATTTTTTAGGATAATAAAACGAACTTTATTCTTGATATTTTCTTAATGTAATCCTTTTATTTTTATTTTTATTTTATCACAACCTTTTACTCTCTAAATTTTTTTAATATGACTCTTCGGATAGGTTTTTGATCAATTTTAAAAGCAAAGTGTCATGATATGTTTGATTAAATTATCACGTGGCAAAAAAATAAAAGAAAAAAAAATGAAAGAAATTAAAATTTTAGTTGAAAGTAAAAAGAAAAAAAATCTAGTTTGTAAAAACACATCATGCATTCTCTCTCCAAGACCCTTGATCTAACTAGTACCCAATTTTTCCTCTTTGTCTTTGTTTTTTTTTTTTTTTTTTTTAATTTTCTTTGTTGGTGAGATTCTCCTTTTACTATAGATTCCTAATGGAAAACTTCTCAATTCTTCTTCTTCTTCTCATCTCTCATAATTAAATCCAAAACCTCTCAATTCTTCTTCTCATCCATCCAAATCCTAAACCCCCGATTTAAAACCCTACAAATCACTAATTTCATAAAAAAAAAAAAAAGGAAACTTAAAAATCATGAGTTATGTTTATCTTCTTTAGCCACTATCAATTTATGATTATTCCTTTCTCTATGCTTGGATCTTAATAAATTGAAAAGAAAACGAGAAAAAGGTAAGAATTTTAGTTGTCCTCTATTATCAATTTATATTTTTTTCATATGGATTTGACTAAATAGTAGTTTCGAATGTAGAAAGGGACAATTTTGTTAGCCTTGTAATAGATTATTGTTTTGGAATCTTAAGTCGTGTGTGTGGTCCGAGTTATAGCCAAAATGATAAATGAATTTTTGTGTTTATCCTTCGCTTTATGCTTTTCTTATTGCTTTTTTTTAAACAAATTAAGACATTTTTCATAAGTATCATATGAGTTGTTTAGTTTTGTTCGAAATTGATTAATGAGTGTGTGTGTGTGTGTGTGTTAGATCCTTTTATTTTGTGCTATGTTTGTTATTTTGTTTAACAAATGAAGACATTTATCTTCCATTTGGGTGGAACTATTAGAATGTTAGTAGGACCAATGGGTTTATTGGTTTAATACATTAGTAGATTTGTGTTTGAGAAGCATGGAGTTGACCCATAATTGTTGTGTTTTAGGATCTTCATAAGAATTTGATAGAAAATATTTTTTTTTTTTTGTTTTGTAATGATCCTTTTGCTATACCACGATCTAAAATCCTTTTTCTTAGATTAGTTTATGATGACACTAGCCTTATTGGTTTGTTAAATTTGATAGATAAAATAGAAAATATAGAAATTTATTACGAACATAGATGTAAAGAACACTCATTACTTAATGAAGATAATTCTTCAAGGGTATGTAAAAGGCTAGTTATTACAAATCATGGTGAGAGACTAGGTTTTGAGGATATGAATGTTGACATTAAATAAGAATATGTTGAGGAATTAGTTGATGTTAGAGTAGTAATTGAAGAATTACTTGAGGATAAAAATGTTTCTAGTAAAGAAGTAGTAGTGGATAAATTACCTAATATTAGAAATATTTATAGTTAAGAAGCGATAGTATGAATCACTTAATGTTAGGAATATTGATAGTCAAGAATTAATAGTTGATGTTTTCATGGATGTAAATGATGTTAATATGGGTGACAATGAGATTGACGAGTTTGATTAATTAGATAATAACTGTATTAAAAATTATAATAAATAGGTATTTGATTATCAATGGTTGTCTAATAATAGAGATAATGAGTTACAAAATGTAAAAAATCAGCTCAAAAAAGCTAATGAGAAAGAAAAGAGTGGTGTAAATTTAAAGAAAAAAAGGTGAAATTTTAGAGGATAATGAGAATGCAAATGAAGAGGAAAATGAGATTTTATCTAAACAAGATGAATCTTTAAATGTCTTTATAAAGGAGGTGGAAAACATAGAAGTATAGCATGAGTATGATTATGATATAAAAGTTAGCATAGATAGCAATAATGAAGATAATGATACAAAGCACGGAAGGAGAAGAAAATCTAAGAAAATATTTTTCAATCCCAACACACCTAATCTCTCGTTTTCATCTTAGAATGATTTTTCTTAATAATAGATAGTTTACTAATGAAGTGACTAAGTATGCTTTGAAGTATAAAAGAGAAGTCAAACATGAGAAGAATGATAGGAGAAAAGGAAATAGCACATACACAAGGTACTAAAGATCATTACAAAAGTTACATTATTTTGCCTTATAAAGGCTTAATTGATATTCTAGAAAAGCTAATAATCTAAAATGCTTAGAATTCAACAAAACATAAGTATGACTTAGGATAAAAAAAACAATAATTAAACATTAATTTAATTCTTCTTAGATTTCGACAAAGTGGCATGGAATTCTCGTAACCGCTAGCTTGGGATTATGCACCATAAGTTTAGTATTAAAATTTGGTCCAAGAATTGGGTCAATGTACCCTCAAACTGAATAAAATATTTAGTTAATTATTGCAATAAATTAGCAAAAAAGATCAAGGATCAAGTGCGAGTGCCCCTAGCTTCCTTGTCGATTACCTAAAAGGCGTGGCTAGGTGTACCATAGTTTAGAAACCGAAATCTCAAATTTTAATCTCATACACATATACAAGGTATCGAAGATCATTACAAAAGTTACAAAATATAAATTTCAATCAAAAGTAGATCCTATAATTGTCGGGTCACACATGAGTCTTTTTCCGAAAGGAAGTGACAACTTCATTATCGGCATTATTATCGCATTTCTTTGTCATAGCATAAAATAAACACAAAGTGAGTCGAAGCTTAGTAAGTAGGGTGATGCACGTGATATGCAATGATTTTCTAACTCCTCCACCTTGACTCATCAAATTTTAATTCGGGTACCTTGGGTATTTAACATGTCTACTCTATTTTTAATCCAGGTGATTACCAAATCACCTTCTATTAACAATGGAATTATCCCTCGTTGCAGCCACTATTAACAAAAATATATCATCTAAAAGTGCAGGTACACAACTTAGAGTACGTACATAGTTAGATCGCTAATACCCATTTATTCCATTAGGTTACCAAACCTATCCAATTCCATCCGATTCGGTTACCAAACCTCATCGTTTTTTACTCACTTATTTTTCCGAAGTCAAACCATTTCCCACATGCATATGATGTATATGATGTATCATGAACCACATTCCATGTCTCATAGGTACCAAATTCTTTATGTCTATATCATTTTAGAAATTCAATCCACACTTGGGACTTCATCAATATTTTCATGGTATTTTCATACGAAATACATAACCCATCCATTAGGTTTACTCAAGTCCCATATTTTAATCATAGTTTAAATGGCATTTAATTTTAGCCTTAATAGTCCACTTATAAATTTAGTGGTTCCAAGCCCTAATTTCTTGAATCCTCTTCTTCTAATACTTCATTTTATACTTATTAGAGTATAAAGAAACCATTACTCATAAAGTTCGGTGTTTGGAACTCAATCGCTAAAAGTCGGGTTTAAGCCGAGTGTTTCCTAATAAAAAATAAAATTTCTATTTTTCTTAGTATTTAACCTTTCTACACTTTATTTTATACTTACTTAAATACATTTAAACCATTGATTCATAATTTGGGTGAATCATATTCAAAACCAAAATTCTTGAGTTTTTGGCCGGATGAGTTAATTAGGGGCAAAGGTTTGTCTTTTGTTCCTAAATCCTTTCTTTCCATCTTAATATACTAAATTATACTTAAGTTGATTACCTTGAAAGTCTAGATCTTTAGATCCATAAACATAATCCAACTTGGCCATTTTAGTGCCAAGGCCCAATAAGTGTTCTTAGGATATCCAAGCATATGTTATTTTAATCCAAGTCCTTTTATTTTAATCCAAGTCCCATTTTATTTTAATCCAAGCCCATCTTATTTTAATCCAAGTCCCATTTTATTTTAATCCAAGCCCATCTTATTTTAACCCAAGTCTTTTTGTTTTAATCCAAGTCCCATTTTATTTTAATCCAAGCCAAGCCCATCTTATTTTAACCCAAGTCTTTTTGTTTTAATCTAAGTCTATTTTATTTTAATCTAAGCCCATTCATACATATCTTCCAAACCCATATGGTTATCACTAAAACAACCCATCACATATGCATAATCATCCATCATCATGCCCATATGTTTGCATACTTATACATTTCAATATAGGTTTACCATGGAATGCACATCAAACAACCATACTAGATCCATCATCAAAACATCATTGATTCATTACCAAAGACATTAAAATATAACATCAACACAACCATCATAACCACATATTACATGGCTCAAGACACAACTCATAAAATGAACATGAAAATTAGAACTTTAAGGCATGAATAAAGCTAAATGAAACCTACTTACAATGATATAAGCTTGCGTAAGATTTCCTAGACTTTTCCTTCTTTTTCTCCTTTCTTTCTTTCTTTCCTTTTTCTCTTTTCCTTTCTCTCTTTCTTTCTCTCACAAAGCCTTCTCTCCCTCCTCTCTTAGAAGCTACGGTTTTTGCCTCACAAAAATGGCAAAGTTCATTTCTTTCTCCCATTTTCATATCATACTTTTTAAACCTTTTATTTCTTTCATGTGTTAGTATGCCAAGTGTCCAAATTTTATGGTGAAAAGAAGTCAATTTATGGAGACAAAAGAGAGAGAAGTTGGCGTGTTTGGCTTTCCAAAATTGAGTGAGAAAGTACAAATGGAAGTATGGTGGAAGGTTTTATGTCACAT